ATCCATAAGATTTTAACACTCGGGTAAAGTCGGCTATAGTCGATTAATTGAAATGTTTTTACATAAGGGGACCCTACACGGTCAATCGGAATTGCACTTATGACGTTCCGAATTGTCGTGTAAGGTAGTGAATGAAGTACTGATGGAGGTGCGCTGCGGATTTCCAAACATCCGGAAATCAAAGGTTCATTCACGAGAAGTGGAGGGGGGACTGAGGTAAAAGTAGTGGGGAGACTAACCATACTGCTGGATAGGTTAGGTTACCTAGGCCTCACAACCATTATAAATTTCTAATTTTCATTATATGTAAATAGTTAAATAATTTTTCATATCCCTTGTTTATAATTTTAAACCATCTTTAACTATTTCTTTTAAATAGTCAAGTGGGCAACAAATTAAAAAAAAAATGAGGAAACTTCACAATTTACTTTAGGAAAAAAAAAACTTTAACGTTGTGTATATTTATCAGTTCTTTTCCCATTTTCCACAACAAATTTATTATTTTCGCAATACCTTTCCTTAATTTTTGTAAGTAGTTGACTTATATTTTACTAACTTTTGTCAAAACGATTTTCTACTAGATAGGTTAGTTTACCTAGGTCTCGTTATTAAGTAAATAATTTCATAAAAGTAATTTAAATAGTCAAGTAGGCAATAAATTGGAGAGAAAAAAAAGTTGAAACTTCACAATTTACTTATAGAAAAAAAATCTTTAACTGTTGTGTTTATTTGCCATTAATTTTTCCATTTTTCTTAACAAATTGATTATTTTCGCAATACTTTTCCTAGATTTTTGTATGTAGTTGACTTATATTTTTCTAACTTTGGTCTAAACGATTTTCAGGCACTAGAAAGTAATTATTATATCTCCGTTTTTCTCTTGATGCCCAATATTATAAATGACAATGTCCAAATAAGCATATCTATGCTGTTTCTTTGTTTACAACTGCGCTAAATTGGTATCAGCAATGATAAGTAATGATCAGTAATGATTGAACGTGTAAGGGTCTTCATGATCAAAGCGATAGCGGGCAATCTTGGAACTTCTTGTGACGTTCATTCATGAATTACCGTGTAGGGTCCCCTATATGGATTAATATATCTCAGAAACCATAAATCGGGCCTGCATACTGTATGCGTGGAAATCGTTCAGCATTTCATCCTCTCTGTAATAGGCTATAATTCAAAATTGTATATTAACACGACGCCGTGTTAGAGAGGCGAAAAGGAAAAAATAACATCTAAAACCAAATGATAACGAGGTTAGTTGAATATTTGGGTTAAAATATCTCAGACACTAAAAATCGGACCTGTATACTTTAAGAGAGGGAAATGTTCAGCATTTTGTCCTCTTTGTAATGGGCTATTATTCAATTGTATCTTCACCCAACACCGTGTTAGAAGGGAGAGGCTACAAATGCTAATATTATTACAACATTGAATTTTTATTTTGACAAAATTATAAACAATACATAAAACATAAAAATAGAAATAATATAAATGATAATAATAGCAGAAATTCTCAGCCATAATGGAAAATATAGAATAATATAACCTTCCAACTAGAGACTTCCACATAAATATTATACAGTCGTTGGATACATCATAAACTAGTAAATATCACTAACTTAAATTTAAAAGTAAATTATACATCATTAAGGACATTTTTAGATTGATATTGCTTTGATGTCTATATTTTATGAAATAGAACTTTATTATTAACTTTAAAAATTTCTTATTAAACGAAATTAAAATAATTAACCCTAACTACAATACAACCAGAATACATAGATTAGTAAAGTTACATAAAAGTGGCTAAATATCTTAATTCCATACTCAGTAACCTGAAATCAGATAGGAACAATGATGTAATAAACTGAATGGAGGTGGATCAAATGCTTAAAAGAATAGATGAAATAGACAATAGGTAAATACTGTCTATTTTGATGTGGAAAATTTATTTACCAATATCAACTGGAAAGATGAAATCAAAATAATTGTAAAATACTGGGATAAAATAGAACCGCATACTCGAATTAAAGGGTTTTATGGAAGATATGGATTAAAATATTTAAGAAGCTAAAAATCGGACCTGCATACTTTAAGCGAGGATACTGTTCAGCATTTGACACTTTTTAAAATGCCTATTATTTATAATTTATATTTCATATTAATAATCTCGACTTGTTGCTGTTTTTACTTCTAACGTGTGGTATAAAGCACACACCTTAGTTTTCTTATTAATTTATTTTACATAATATTTTAACTGCGTTCGAAAGCATCTAGTAAATGTGCTGTCGCTCGTTTTGTCTGCTTGAAATTTATTTAAATTGTGAGAAAATCCCAAGACCACTGCCTTTTTAGTCCTTTTTGATGCTTCTCTGGTAACATGGAGGAAGAAAGAGAGAGTTCATGTCGTTGTGTATGGTGCAATTTGAAATATATCAGAGTGCATTTACGATTTTTCAAACTATTTTGGACTGTGCAGTTTGTATTTTGTTTAGCGGAACTATAAAGATATTTTATTTAAAAGCATTAAGTAGTAAGATTTTTAAATTTTAAACTAAATCAGTTAAAATACAATAAGTAAATTTGAATTGTAATATTTCGTGTACAACATGAAGAGTAAATTATTCTCCATGAGGTAGCTCTCCAATTCTATATCATAAGGTCTCGAGGCCATCATATAGGACAAGGGGCCAATTTTTTTTTAAGGTCATCCTTTTTCTCGATTTTATGATCAAATTATCTTACGATATAAGTAGAAGGAAATGGGTATTTACGAGTTTTTAGTACCTATTTAAATAAACAAAGTTTGCTCTCCCTCCAGATTGAAAACACCCCAATTCCAAGGGTTTTCGTAAATAAAATAGTTATAGGTTACGATGAGATAAAACTATTTGCGAAGTTTCAAGTGGATGTTAATAATTCGATAAAAAGGAGTCTGTACGACGGACTACTACCTTATCACATATAAAATTATCCATAATGACCTTATTGCTCCTTATTTTGCAGACTTAGCCCATTACAGATATCTATCCTTCCATAATAAGGACCCATCCAAACTCACTTGTTGCTCTTCTTGCCTCTTGCATCCTCTTCTTTTCCTGATAATCCTCCAATGGTGTCTGAAAAAATTAATGCGTCGAGACCTTCTAATACAGAATTGGAGAGCTACCGATAAATAGTTTACTCTCTCATGTTGTACACGAGATATTACAATTCAAATTTACTTGTCCTATTTTAACTGATTCAGTTTTAAATTTAAAAATAATATATTTAAAAAATCTTTCTAATCTTAATTGGTACGTTAGCAGTACGTTACCTTACATACTGAGCTCCATATGCCGACTGTTAACGAACACATACGTACTCATTACAAACGATTCCATGACAACTTACAAGGACATCCTAATACACTTATAAATGACATGGCCACTACGAATATGCCAGGTAACGTCTGTAGAAGACTGAAGAGGAGCTGGATGAGGGACCTCCTCGCCTAATGTAGATATCACGCCGAGTGAGGTGCCGCTGGGCATTGATCCTCCTCATGCCTTTCATGACATTCTATTAATCAATCGATCTCACATTCACTGGTTGTCATTAGCATTATGACAGGTGTGAATAAAACATTAAAGCTAAAAAAAAATAAATAAAAATAAATTAATAAATTAAAAAAAAAAAACTACTTAAGAAGTTACAGGCGGATGTATATTCGATAAAAAGGGGTCTGAACCACGGACTACAGTACTTCAAGTAAGTCGAATTTGACTAAAAAGTTGCTTTGACATATCAGGAAAATATTTAACTTAAATAAGTGATTCAGTTGCGCGGGATGTGACATCTATCGTTATATTCCTGATCTACCTTGAATTTTCTATTACGCAATGAAATTTCGTAAAGAGATCGTGCCTGCTTTAACTAGCTCTAACTAGTTGTAGAAACAATTTTGGGGCCAACGTACTCAATAAAATAAGAGTACGCCGCCAAGTTTATTGTCTGGGTCCCAACTGCGGCTTGTGGACTAACGGTTTGTTACCACGGCCCTGTCGAGTTTTGTTGATACGAAAAACATTTGGGGCCATTCTCCCCCTTTAGGCGTCTCTATTGTCTAAGTTAAATAAAACAGCCCGAATTAGAAAGCCAAATATACAAATAAGCGAATGGACACTTCAGAGTCAAACTGTCTTAAGTTCTCAAGTTGAAATTTAAGAAAGAAGTAAAAAAAAATGCTATTATTCAAGAGTAATTATCCTTTGATTATGAAATGAAATCAAAATATTTGTAGTGAAATCTTATTATTTTGGGACTGTTGCCCCTTTAGAGCACATTACTAGTACAGAAAGCATGTCTGAGTGGTCATAAATATATTAAATAATTTACAATAATAGTTAATTAAATACAAGTAAAAATACAGAAGAAAGATAGAGAAAAAGAAAAGAAAAACGTACATTATATATATATATATATATATATATATATATATATATATATATATATATATATATATATAAGACAAAAAAGGAAACTAAAATAACAGAAATAGTCTCTGGGGGTACTTAGATAGTTCTCTTAGGTATATTTTGTAATCAGTCGGATTAAGAAAGGAATATCAGCAGGGATGGTATTCCAGAGTGCCTTGAATTGCAAAGGATTTGTCAAAGGCAGCAGTTCGGTGAGGAGGAGGATAGAGATTGGAAGTATGAGATCTAGTGGGATGCGATTGGATGGAATATTTAAATTGTACGCTGAGAAAAATATAGGAAGATCGATGAGTTCTAATGATTTGGTACAGAAAGATGGCTAGGAAGTACTGACGGCGATAGGATGGAAAGAGCCACCTCAACTCAGTGTAATACTGGGTAATATGCGTATTCCTTGAAATTATGAAAACAAACGTAATGCGCAATTCATAAGGCGTTTAAGTTTGGCTTCGAAATCTCCCGAGAGTCAGCGTACAGCCATAGTCAAAGTGGGGGAAACAAGAGAGGAGACTAATGGATGGATATGATGGATGGATAATTCAATTTAAAATTGTGAAAAAAAAGAAAGAATAAACTTTTATATTTCAAACAAATCAAAAAGTTATCCTGAAGTGTTTCTTTCAAATGATTGGCAAAATTCCCGATTTCAGCTCTTAACAGCTTTTAGCATGACAGCTTTTTTTTTTTTTTTTGGGCCTCATATTTTTGCTATTTTTAGTTTCCGAATCTCAAAGTGGACATTTTTGACATTTAGATAAATAAATTTTTAATATTTCTGTTGTTGGTTGTGACAGAGATTGGTGAAAATTGTAGATAGCTCCATGAATTCCGTCCGGTATAAAATTCGTAAAAAAAAAAAAGTTTTAGTAGACCTGTTTTATTATTTTTTTTCCTCACTGAAAAAGCTAGAGAAGGTCTGTATTCTTACAGATATTGTAATATTAAAAACATATTGTTAACAAACATTTGCATTCACGTATTACTTTGAGACAACTAGATTCCGTATCTGTTTGTAATAAAATTCATGTGAGAGATATAACACCAACTTCTATTAATCTTTATTAGGTGATGTTTTCTGGTAACATCTTGTTTAGTACCTAGATGGTCCCAAATTATTTCTATCAAATTTTATACAATATTTTCGCTAAAGCTTACGCAAATCTAATTCGAAAATTGGAGTTCTGGCAATGGCCAGCTTCTCCACTCAAGTCATTAGTGTTTGTGGTTTTAGTGCCCTCTCTCAGTCTCCACCGGACTGGTAATGCCGGCGACGCGGTTGAGAGAGAAGTGCTGGGATCTCTTAGAGTCTCGCTTTGTCCTTCACACGTGGGGGAAAGGGCTGGACTCCAGATCTCTTGCCTGATTGTAAATATTGTATTTAAGTATGAATGTTTTTCTATTTATTTCTATTACTTATAATTTATTTAATTTTGCTACAAATTTCTATATTTCATTTGATTTTAACTCTAAGTTACATTTCCTTGGTTTATTATAGTTTTTGCCTTTGTTATATAGATGTATATATTTTTATTTATTTATTTTTTTATGGTATTGTATATACGGTATGAATGTGCCTTAGTACTCAGTTCCCTTAAATGTGGCAAAATGTATTATTTCTCAATAAACAGATAAAAAAAAAAAAAAAGAAATCGAAAATGGCCCTAAATTCGGAGGATAGTAGGTAATTAGAGTAAAACTGGTCCAGTACCAATTTCATTGAATTTCATAAATATGATTTTTGTTTTCCGTGCAGTTTTTCGAAACCTCCCAAAATATGTTAATTTTCCCGTTCTTACAAAAAATCCAATGATCGCATCTCTTTTCATCTTTTTATTTCAAGGACCATCTTGAAGATATGTTTAATTGAGCTACAAGATGAAAAGTAATCAATGAAATAAACGTTTGGCGAACTCCAGATTGAAAATGCCCCGATTCCGTGAATTTTCTAAAAAAAGAGTTTGTCTATGTCAAAATTATTAAAAGGGACAAAACTAAACTAAGTTGTTTTTCATTAAAGGTGTCCTACAAAAATATTAGGCCGTTTTTATAACCTCGTTATTTTGACATGTCAGGATTTGAGATCAAGCAAAACGGCCGAATATTTTTGTAGACCACTCAATTTAGTCATTACATTATCTTAAGATTCAAGTGGAAAGCAAATTGATGTTCATGCTAATTTCGTACGTAGTTAAATAGACAAAGTTTGCCGATCTATAGATTGAAAATGCCATAATTCTGAGAATTTTCGTCAATGTTGTAGGTTAGACGGATGTTAATAATTTGATAAAAAGGGGTATGTGTCACGGACTATTCTCCATTTGAGCCTATCTTTGGCTGTTTATTTCCAATTATCTATATACAGATGTATTACATTTTTGTTGATTCTCAGATTCAATTAACAGGGATATATTCATTACCTGAAACCAATCTTTCTTGTCTGGTTAGTGTGGACACGACCCAAACAGATCCATCAAGGTAAACAGGCAAAATGGGTCCCTACCCAATCAGAGATGACCCAAAGCCGATACCCTCATCGCTCGTGTAGCCAGTAATTAGTGAGAGTATCAGATAGAGATCTGGGGGCGATTTGTCATCCAACGAGTGAGAACATAATGCCTATTGAGTGGGCTGCCAGCTATCAACAGCTGACACTATCATACATCTGGCATTTCATCTCTACCTGCTACTTATGTAAGAGATGCCATATCTTGTCATATCATGTATCTATTTATATGTTATTATTTATTTAAAGTAACAGTAAAATTATTTTCAAGACAACATAAACATATCTAGAGATAAAAATAAAAATTGGTGCTGCACATCACTAGTTTTGCCCAAATGCGAGGTCGAGACTAGTCTGGGTCTTGCATACTCTGTCTTGGTCATGGTCTAGGTCTTGCGCAAGAGTCTCGCAACACTCTTGCAGTTACTTATTAGCTTTATTTCTATAGAGATATTATTGTAATTTTTTAGAAAGGAGAAACCTAACTAAGCCCTAATGAAAAATTAGAGGAGTTAAATGCAAAAGTATATTGGTTATACCAATCATTAACATATTTTTTATTTAGAAAATTTATTTTTTGCACCAGTCCCTGGTCTTGATCTTGCAACAGTTAGGCGGCCTTGGTCTTGGTATTGCAAAGTGCACAAGACCAAGACCGATTTTGGGCAATACCTGACATCACAAAACTTTAACTTATCGACTTTTCAGTTGACATTTTTATTTTTAAAGATAAAAAATCATAAGAAAATTAATTTAATAATAAATAAAAACACACGACCTATATAAATTATGACAATTATATGCACTGTATATTTTGGGTTTGTCAAGCTGAAAATAGGCTTTAAAATTTTCATAGAAATTCTGTTTAATTTCCATGAAAATGATTATTACCCAGAGTTAAAAGTGATTCATTTTTCGTCATTGGCCATTTTAATTTCTACAATTTTATAATTCTACACTTTATTTTGTGTTTTTATAAAATCATTTGCTTTGCAATGTTATATTACAGATCTGTATTCCTTTTTTTAAATTTTATTTTATTTAAAATTATCATATGGGACTTGTGGCATTAAATAGAGCCTGAAAAATTCGATTTGAATTTAGTGTAAATCTGTCATGGACATCATCGAAATGGTCTATGGCAGTTGCTGTGACAAAAGAAATGTCAAGGTCGGTGCAACGTAAGATTTGAAACATAAAAGGGGATGTTTACAATTTCCCGAAGAACTTTTTACTGAAATGATTGAAATATTTTTATATTAGATGATTTATTTCCTCTTACTCATAATGGCATGTGTAAAAATTTGAAGAATGAGAACTTTGTAAATAAACTTTGTAAATAGTTAATTTATTAGTAAATGATAATTTAGAACCCTGACAAGTCCTTATCTTTCCTTTTTTGTTCATTTTTTTTCTTCATACAGTAACCCTGTACGAAGGTAGTGTATTGTTAATTTTACGTGCTCCATGCATTATACGCAATACATGTATCAATTAAAGTATTACAATTCTTATAAATGTTATAAATTATATGATTTTAGTTATAATACAAAGTTCATTTTTTCCTAACCAATCGCTTAAAACAAAATAAAATCGATAATGCATAAGATAATTGTAAAGAAACTAAAACAGAAAACACATGATTAAAAAATAAAACAAAACAAAATATCTACAATAAAATTATTTATCTCTACAGCCTTTTAGATGAGTTGGAGATCAACCTTAAAGGTTGAAATTTTTCATCTCCTTGTAGTGTTTCTTGAAAATATCCTTTTTTTTTTGCGGCCAGTTATCGTCGTGAAGAATTATGCTTTTTAATAAATGATGCATTCACTGTCAAAATTTTGTTTTTATTTTTTTATTTCTTAATGATATTTACAACTGTATTGAAGAAATACATCTAGTAAATTAGAACATAATGTATATAATGACATGAAAAACACTTGCTGAGTAACTACCCAATGATAGCACTCTAATGATATGTTAACATTAGGAGATCATGGGACCAACTTCTTTTTAGACCCTCAGGGAGGGAGGGAGGGGTTATCAGGAATTGAAGAGGAAGCAAAGTTAGAAACGAGAGGGTTGGGATGATTCTGAAGTTTATTATCTGAAGGATAGGTATCTGGATTGGGCCAGATCTGAAACATAAGAAACATTAAGGTCATTATGGATGGTTTTATTTGTAACAAAGTTGGGAGCATTGAGGATTTTACGAAGGATTTTGGATACGAGAAGAATTTGATGGTTTAGTGGAACTCCATAGCTGAAATCCGTAAGTCCAAATAGGCCTTATTATAGTCATGTATACGAGTCTTTTTTAATTAATTGGAAGTTTAGAGAGTTTGTCAAGTAAGTGCTGAAGTAATGGGAAACGTAGGGCGGTTTCTTGTTGTTTCAATGTGAGGATATCGTCAAAATAAAATAAATAAATGAAATAATAACAAATCCGTCCTAGTTGTGTACTAAACAATCTACATGATTGCATGATTCAACTTAATTAAATTTAATACATTCATCGAGTCTAAAACCGTTTAGAAAATTATTTTTTTTAAAACTTTAATACAAAAGAAGTATTAGCAATCAAAGATAAATTGACGTTAAAGTAAACGAATGAACCGTATCTTCAGGCGTTCCATTCAAGAATAAACTTTATAGTTCGCATAAAAGGCTCCCAGGGTAATCAACAAGAAGTTGAGGCTAAGATCTTTAGATCCTGATGTAAGTTTACTTTCACAGAACATCCAAGACCATTCTCTCTAAAGTGGAGTATCGAGTCCGGGGCTCTTGTAATTCAGAAACGGAGCTAGCACGAACAGGAAGATCAACTCGTCCATTACCGAAATAGTCTTCCGAAAGACTTTAACAGTTGAGTGAAGATGTTAGAGGATCAATAGGGTGGAAAATAATGACACGGGTGGAAGAACACAAAGCTATCAGGACAAGGCAATGAAAGGGTTCTTCTCATCCAGTAACTACATCCTTCAAATTTAAACAAGAAATTTCTTATAAATTATCAAGATGGCACTTTGACTTCATTGACAATCGATTGTATTTCTTTTTGTATAATCGAAAATGGGACGTTTTCTTTGAATGTTTACTTTTAACAAAAAAAATAATAATTATAAAAGTACATACGTTTTATCTACGAAAGTTAAAAAAAAAAAAATCTTGAAATATTTACATCAGTTTGTCAATATTAATTTCTGTACCCCATTGAGAACTCTCACATCAGATAGTTAAAATTCTCCCGGGCGAGTAAGCGAAACATGCAATTAATCCTTAATCTCAAATTAAAATTAATCAAACTCAAAATAAACTGCTCAAAAAGAAATAGGGTCTAAAACAAACAAACAAAAAGAAATAGGGTCTTAATATTGTTATATTATGACAAAAAAAAAAAGGATAAATTTAAAAGATAATAAAATAAGTTTTATTAAATATAATTTTCTATCGGAATTTTTACTTGTTGGGCGCCTGGCTTTATTACCTTTTCATCTCTAAAGAGATAATTACAGAGAATATAAGGTGCTTACCCATTATTTGGCCATGGTTAATCATTTATCCTACCATGCTAGCTCAGGTGAGAATGGGTTTGGTTGGATACTTTTATAAAGCAGTAAAAAATGTTAAGAGATCTATTTACAGAAAGAAATATTTACAGAATTAATACTATGTACAAGCAAAAGAAATAAAATAAAAGGAAAGAGAGAAAATTTAGTCATAATTACTATATACAATTAAAGGTAAATAGGAAGATATATACATAATAAAGATAATAAAAGTAACAAAATAAGATACTTATTCTATATATGGCATGCTAAATAGTATGGCATTCTACATATAAACATCAAGAAACGAAAGTCAAGATAAAAGATATCACAGCACTGACATATGGTAAAAAAGGTATTAATAATTAATCACAGGAAACAAAAGAGAGAAGAGTTCTATATTTTTTTTCAATGCTTCCTTAATCTTGGTTACAATATGTATGATTTATTTTCTCTAGAATATTTATTTTATTTATATTATAAAAATACATTGATAATTAATGCAAATAACAAGATTTTTGTGATGATGTTTTTAATATTACAAATTGTAAAATTTTTATAAAAATAAATATTTTGTGTAATATCTTTTAGTAGAAAAAAGGCCATTTTAGTCTCAATACTTAAAATACTTTATTTTAAATTTAACCAAATATATTGTGAATTTTTATCTGAAAAAATACCCATAAAAATTCTTTCAGAGGATTTACTATTAGACTTTAGACCATTTGTAAAGCTCATAATAACATTAAAAACGAATAGTAACAAATCAACAAAAAAAAAAAATTGAAATAAAAAATACTAATGAATAAAATAAATTTGTCATAGTTCAAGGTAATGTTTATATATTTTTTTCTTTATTATGAGGGTTTCACTTCGATCAGATGATAAAATTAGTCATTGACGCGGAATTCAAATGGTTATTTATTTTCAATTTTTTTTCCAAAGGTTAAAATGTTGTAAGAGGATGCCAAAAACTAGATATGTAAAATTTCGGCTCGTTAGTCGATACAGAAAGCTACGTTGCCGAAAAAAACAAAAACAAAAACAATAGAAAAAATCTTTACGGTTTCGTATGAGGTGAATTTTAATTCAGGCCGGGAAGAAGAACACGCTGATGGGGCACAGATAAAGATCTGTCTGGGCTCTCGTTTCTGTCTACCCTCTCGTCTGCGGCAGATATCTGCTAAGCGCATTTCTTGAGGAAATTCTATTTAATTAAGTGCTAAAATTACCCATTGGGGTTTCACTTGAATCGTAAGATAATTTTCTGACAAATTCAATAAAAATTGTGGCCTACAAAAATATTAAGGTGTTTGGCGTGACTTACACACCCAAAATTTGAAAATAGGTTATATTGGACAAACGTCCCAATATTTGTTATCGATTTTGCGAACAAATTATCTTAAGATCCAAATAGAAAGCAAATGGGTATTTGCGAGTTTTTAGTACCTAATTTATAGACAGAGTTTGTCTCCCTCTAGATTGAAAACGCACCCAATTCCAAGAGTTTTCGTAAATAAATTAGTTGTAGGTTACGATGGGATGAAACTATTTACAAAGGTTGTTTTCGTGTTTTTTTTTTTTCATCCTCCCCTTCCTCGGCTATATGGTGTTTTACCGGGGGAGGAGGTCAGGGCGGGTCCTGGAAAATGCCAGAGTTAAAAGCCCCCATGACACAAGGGCGTGAACTCGTGATTATTTTTATCAATTATTTCATATATATATAATTTTCGTGTTTTGTTTTTATTTGTTATTCTCTTCCTGGCCTATGGGGCTATACGGAGTTTTCCCGGGATAGGGGATTAATTCTAGAGTTAAAATCCCCTTCGGCACCGAGACGCGAACTCGTACTTTTAATCTTTCATAACTTCGGTTATCTGATTGCCGAGCAACTCGCGGTGCTGTGCACATGCGTAAGCCAGTTCAGTCAACCCGCCTCGTACATTTCGTGTTTCTTTGTCAACCGTTGATATTGTTTTCATAAGACAGGGTTATATATTTTTTTTGGGGGGGGGGGAGGGAAGGGAGGTAGACTTTAGCCCGAAAGTTATCCCTCCTCTCCATAGATTCCGTATTTCGTTTTGTGAGAAATTGAATCCGAAATAAACATCTGAGTAATCTGCAAACATATTTTTAGAAATTTTCTTTTCCAAAAATCAAAAAAGACTGTTTGAATCTTACGGCCTAAAACCAAAGATCGACCGATCAATGATTAAAAGAATATTCGATAAGAAAATTTGTTGTTTTATTTAGTACGACATGAAAAAAAAAATTTTTAAGAATAACAATTAAGACATTGAGGAGGTCATTAACGTTTTGACCGTCGAAGTCGTTAAGGAAAATAAGCCTTATTATAATAGTTAAAAGAGAAAGAAGAAGTGAAACAAAAACAATTCATGAATAAGAAATAAGTTAAACAATAGGAAGCTGCCGTTTTAAAACAATGCTACTCAACGGTAATTGAATGCTCTGAAGAGAGTTCTTATAATGGCTTGGCAGGATCTGTTAGCGTTCTAACACTTAATTGAAAATTGTTCCATTCGGAGCCGCCATCACAGAATTATCGTATTTTCAAAGTTAAATATATCAATTGATATAATGTTTTTTAAAACTTTAAAAATATATATTTTTGATTCAAATCAGCGCACAATCAAAAGTACTAAGCAAAAATCAAATGGGACATTTTTATGAGTAGGGAACAGGAGAGGGATGAATATTTGAATATATATATAAGTGAATATTTAAAAAAACAAAAAAAATTAGACCTAAGAACAATTTGTGTAACAAGAATTTGTGAAATATTTTAACCAGAGTCATTACAATTAAAAACCTGTAATAATATTTTTAATTTAAATAATTAGTATTAGTTCATTATTTTCAATAATGAAACATTATTATAAAAAAAAAAAAAAAGAAATTCAAAAAGCTACCCTCTCCCCACAAAATTTAAGATTTATGTATCACGCCATGTAGAACCCTAAAATTCATTTATTTAGTAATATAATATTCTGTCTCTTGGAAAATAATTATAGGGAGGTAAGAACACATTCATACCTTAAAGAAAACATAAAACAAACAGAAGAAAAATAAAAGATAATCAATGATCAAAAAGTATATAAAATAACATAAAAATAAAAGAACTAAATATGAAAATCCAATAAACAAAACTTTGTTCACCATCCACTACTGGACCAATTTTTTTTTTCAAATTTGGAATTAAAGTCAGAGGTCATCCGATGATGATCCTCCTATCCCGAAATTACTATCCACCTTTTTCTTTCAAATAGCAAGCCGAAAAACATGTGTCGCTATAGACTATAGCTCCTTAAATTGGCGAAGATCAAATAAATAAACAAATTATGTATACTTCAAATGTTATTGTCTTGTTAATATATATAAATAGCTTACACACAATTATAATTGTATATCTTATGTTAAAAATGGAAAAATCCAAACTACAAAGCCATGAGTCTCCAATATGTAGGTGAATATTTAACATATTAACGTTTCACCTATACATGTATCATCCGGGCAGAAAAAACAAGATCCATCTTGTTTTTTTTGGCTCCGATGATGCCAGAAGAAAATGGTTTTTATGAATAAAAATTAAGGCTAAATAGTTACCAATACTTGACAATTTTAGTTAGTATAAGTGAAGAACTGATATAACCAATATACTTTTGTATTTAACACTTCTAATTTTTCATTCCGGCTTAGTTAGGTTTCTCCTATCCAAAAAAATACAGTAATATCTCTATAGTAATAAGCTAATAGGTAACTGCAAGACTGTTAAGAGACTCTTGCGCAAGACCTTGGTATCGCATTTGGACAACACTATTGGAGACTCATGCCTTTGCAGTATGTCTCTTTTCTAGTTTCATGCTTATATTTGTTATTATACAAGTATTTAAATACATGTTTAAATGTTATGAATATTGAAATATATATATATATATATATATATATATATATATATATATATATATATATATTAATCTCGCCTTGTTGATGTTTTCACACATCATGTTGTTTTTTTCTTACGTGCAGTACAATATTATTCTAAGCTCGATTAGAACCCACGAAAAGAGCAACAATGTTGGAGCCAATGAAGAAACAGAATGCCAATTATCATGTCTGCCATTCATCCGTATACCGTTGGATGGCTTGAGCCTTTAATTGAATGAGTCTTTCGCGAATTAGCAACTCCATCACGTTCTGCAGGAGGGCTGTGCCTCCCAATTCGGATGGATCGCTTATCTTGTAGCCCGTGTGCTACGGATATGATAGTTGACGATTCGCCAATATCTCCTGGCGTCTACGACTGCCAAATAATTGCCACGGAGGAAGTTGGAGGACGGGAACCGAAGAATATAAACAGATGGGTTACTTATCACCAATCTGTATACCGTAGGAGATAAAACTACGGGTGCAGAATGAATAGGTTATATTATATATTACACATGTCAGTAATATAAATAAGCTTCGATTTTCGACAGAAAGTCCACGGCGATCGATACTTTGAATACAGAATAAAAAAACTAAGGTATGTGCTTTAGACCACATCAAAGAAGTGAAAACATCAATAAGTTGAGATTAATAATATGAAATATAAATAATAGCTCATAATAAAGAGGATAAAATTATGAACATTTCCCATGCTTAACAGGTCCGATTTTTAGTTTCTGAGATATTTTAAACGATATCTTCAATAAAACTCGTTTGATTTTCGCACTATTTTTCCTTTTTCGCCTCTCTAACACGGCGTTAAGATAAAAATTAGAATAATAGCTCATTAGAAAGAGAATGAAATGATAACATTTCTCTTGATAACAATAAGCAGGTACGATTTTTACGCGTCCCGGCGCCTGGGGAATCTTTTAAATCCCGTCCCACACCCCTGGCCCGCGAAAACCACGTATATCCTTAAAGGCAAGAAAGGGGAGGACTAAGGGGAAAAATACATTATTAGGTGTCATTAATGTTAATAGCAAAATGTTAATAATTAGGTTATTTTCTTTCGTATTATTTTATTTTATTCATTACATTTACAACTGTATAAAAATAAATATACATTTAGTAAATGTGATAAAGAGAAATACCATAGCATGAAAATTCTTGCACAGAAAATACCCATTTGTAGCACTTTATTAAAATTTCTAAATTAGAAGATTATGGTGCCATCTTCTTTTAAGATACCTCCGAGGGTTATCAGGAATCGAAATTAAGGTTAAAAACGAGAGGATTCGGGTGTTATGAAGTTTATTATGAAAGGATAGGACCTTTAAGGATTTTACGATTGTTTATGAGAGGAATTTGAAGGTTTAGTTCAGCCCCTTAGCTCAACTCCGCGAGTCCAAATATGCCTTATTATAGTCATGTATATGATTCTTTTGTAAATAATTGGAAGCTTAGAGCGTTTCTGGTAAGTGTTGGAGTTGTCGGAAACATCGAGCGGTTTCTTGTCGTTTTAGTCTGATATGAGGATTTCAAAGGATACTGTAGGACAGGGAGACATAGATTTGCAACGAAGGAAAAGGTGATTTTATGGGAGTTGTTGAAATTTCTTTTAATCCTCCACTTTAGACACCATTCTTCAAAGTTTCTTTCTTAAATTTAAATTTTTTTATTTTTGTCCCGTTAGATTTCTAAGACCGCCCTCTGCGAGCCAAAGTCCCTCCGGCTATAGATAGATATTACTTTTAATTTTTTTTTTTTCGAATAAAGCAGAAGCGAGGAAGCGTAGATAAGAGAGCTGATGAGAGAGGAGTTGATGAGACTATGAGAAGACCAGAGTGCAGCACCGCCGCCTCATGAATCCTTAACTACTTCCCTCTTCTCTTCCTTTTTCATCCCTCGCTGCTATTTCTTTTTCTTCCTTGGCCCTTTGTCCGGTTTCCTCAGCTACCTTTCACTACTTCATTTCACCCATTGTCCTCGCCCTCGGCTCTGTAATCCGAGCATTATGGATTCAAAGCCTTTTCATCTTCCGTCCCTGTCTTCTGTCTCTCTCTTCTATTATTATTATTATTATCACCGAGCTACGGGTGGCGGTCGTATTGATGAAAAATCTCCGCCTTATGTCTTCTGTCGGTTTAAAAAAGAAGTAAAAAGGAAAAGTCGTAAAAATATTTTTCTTTCTTGAAAAACAAAACAAAATAAAAACGAAAGATAGATGACGGCTCTTCAGACTGTATTCATTTAGACTGCCCTTGCATTTGTTCACTTATGAACTTTGTTGTTTTGTTTACTAATTATAAATTTAAGTCTAGCGACGATTTTGATATTAAAGATGGAGTTTATCTTAATCTACATTATCTTAATCAGAAATCAAGATGTGGTCTGTTTGGGAGGAATTTTTTAATTGAACATAATCGATCTGTCTTGGATTCAAAGTTTAACAGCTCGATTTTATATTTTGATTTCTGAATACAAGGATACAAAGGAATGAATTTGTATTTTTCGTAAGGATAATAGTGTTTGTTATTTTGTGATCGACTCCATTTGTATAGGGTTCTTCCCTTAAAACAAATTAAGATTGAACTGAATTGAAAAAATATAACAGTAACAGAGAGACACTTTTGTAATATATAATTACTTCGACAAAGTTGTGGACTAATGAAATTTGTGGAAATTGATAAGTTTCGAAGCTTCACTTGTAATTGTATCATACCTCCTGCAACTTTGTGAAAAAAAAAGTTAAGTTTTTATAAATTTTTCTCCCCCTAATTAAAAACCATTTCTCTTCCCCAAATCGATTCCAATTAACATTTTTTTTTCTCAAAAACTAGCCACGAAGTTTAAATCTCAATGGAAATATATAAGTATCAACGTATTTTAATTACTATTGAAATTATTTGTGATGCTTGGAAATATTTATCGTATATGTCGGAAATATATGCTGATGACATACCATGTACTCGGAAATAAGCAAGAAAACATTGAAAGACTGTGATAAAAGGAGCAAAGGAAATTGGCCTATAAGTAAAGGAAGACAAAACAAAATATACGATAATAAGCCGAAAATTCCACCCCAATAACAGGATCTTCAAGGAAATTCAAATACTTCGACTCCGCAATTACCTCAATAAATAACCAACAGGCAGAAATAGACCAGCTCTTTCAAAAGTACTGAGATCTCGAAAAATGTCAAATTAAGGGTGTACAATGCTAGTTCTAATATGGCCGTGAGACCTGGAAACTAACCAGTGCCCTAGAAAAAAGTATTGAAAGATTCGTGAGAAAAATCCTCCGCACAATAACCGGAGCGATCTGGAATCAGAATACTAATACATGAGAAGATATACCAAAAAAGAGCTGCTTATAGTAACTGGTTGATCAGTTTATCATGATATGAAGGCAAGGAGGTTGAGATAGGCCGGACATATAGCTCGGAGCTATCCATCTGGAAGCTTCTACATGACAATGAATGCCTCAATAGAAGGCAAAAGACCATGTGGAAGGCCAAAAAGCAGATGGATAGATACAATCACCAAAGATGCAATAGAGCTGCTCAAGACAGGCAGAGATGGAGTTGACATGTTAAGGCTACAAAACATCTATGATGCCTGTAATGCCAACAGAAATATATATATATATATATATATATATATATATATAGTTTCAGATCGGCAAATCTTATAAAATGTACACTGACAACAAAATATTAATTGGCTCTTTAAAAAAATTCAAAATCCACGACTTACTGACTGAACGAATCAGATAAAATCTAATAAAGGTTATGGATAAAACCATAAAAGTGTCAGTTCAATGGATCAAATGTCACATTGGTCTTTCCAACAACGAAAGAGCTGAAAACCTAGCCAGCTGCTAACGATAACCACTTACCAATTGACTACAGCTTAGTGCCTCTTTCGTACATTACAAAATTAATTAGAACAGACATAACTCGAGACTGGAACGGGCATTGGCAACATTCTACTAGAGAACAATCCAACAAATACATCATACAAATACAAATACATATACAAACAATACAAATACATACCTCATATCACAGTACAAAACTATAACAAAATCAAAAGTAACCGTTACAATCTTCCAAGAATTACTTTAAAATATTTTGTCTGAAAAACACAGATTCATATAACTGTGACGGACAAATTCCATAAACATTCAAACACATGCTCTACGACTGCAATCTATACGAGCGCGCAAGATAAGACGTGATAAAAGTCTGTGTAACGCGAGGACGAACATGGCCACTTTCAGAGAACAAAATATAAAATCGAGCTGTTAAACTTTCAATCCAAGATAAATCTATATCGGAAATATACTCGATAATGATCAGAGTTCACTTTAAAAAAAAATCTCCCCACACAGACCACATCGCGATTTTCGATTAAGATAATGTAAGCTTGAGCTAATTGATTATACAAGATTAAAAGCAATATGATTACGGTAGTTTTCTCTGAAACAAAAATGTGGAATACAGGATTATATTAATATACTTTACAGATATTATAACACCATTAAGGATAAATTAAAAATCATATTTGGTAAAAATCAGACAGTTAAAATAGTTCCAATCATCAAATTAATATAAAATCTAAAATTGTTAACAATATACTTAAATAATTAAACATACAACAATAAATACACATTTTAAAAAAATATTAATATGAAACTATGTTTTAAAATTAAATTAAAAGATTACCCCTATACCTAGGAGAAAAACCAAGAAAAAAGACGCCGACAGATTACATGTGATTTGCAATATGGAATTTTTGCCGTAATATGCGGAGGACAATATTCCAGATTACCATAACAATTCTCTATAATTTGATATAATTGAGATTAAAATATATAATTTCCCCATGTCTTTTGAGGTGATTGGCTTAAATAATTCTATTCTATCAAGATTTCCCATACCGTGGTAAATTCTTAAACTACTGTAAATTGGGTATTTAAATAATATATGATAAAGTGTTTCGCTTTCTTTAACTCAAGTTGTGGAGTTATTTTCACAATTTATTATTAACAGAAATCTTAATCATATATTTTCTTGAGGAATGGATCTGCATTATTATTTTTAGAAATTATTTGAAATTAGTCGGCATCAACTAACACTGGAGGATCTGATCCTTATTAAGAAATAGGTTTAAATGTTCACTATAAGATGAGCTACGCAATGTTATCCTGTCTCCGTACTGCAAATGTTGTTTATATTTATTTAATATCCTGTTAATATTTGTTCTAATTATGGCTGAGTTGGTTTCATAAATTAGATTTCCTTCCCCAACAGTACAATACTTTTAGCTGAGCACAGCAATTATATTTCGATAGAGCAGAATTAGCTAAGTAACAGTTATTTCTTAGCTTTTCGAAACATATTTTTGGATATCTAGATTCCTCCATTGGCACAAGCTTAAAAAACCAATTCAATGAACACTTTATAATATTGAAACCAATATGAGTAGACCCTGTTTCTAAACGTATTAAAAAGTCTGGGTTGTTTCACGAAGCGAATATGTCTTTTTATAAAAAATTGACTTGACTTGTTACTGTTATATTATAATGTAATATTATTATTTTCTTTTTTGTGTTAATATTTTCTCATACTCATTGTTATCTGGTCTTTCCTTAGCCCTAATGAAGGCCAGGATTTTGGGCTGAAACGTTGGAAACATTTTAACTTTTACAGAACACGCAAACCAAGTTCAATAATAATAGTAGTATACTTAAGGTTTAATAACTTTAAATGAAATTTTTATAATGGAAGTAGGCGAAAACTGTGTCATGTAACGGAATCGGTTTGAGTGATTCTTGAAGTTATTTAACAGAATTATTTATTGATTCAAATTTTAATTTATTTTAATACTTTTTCTTATTTTACACTGTATTTTAATCAATTGTCTTTATTTTATGTGATTACGACAACGAGCTCACTTCTCCATAATCCAGATATTTCTTTGCGGTTTGTGTTTCAGTGATTTTATTCGTTCGACCATAAACGAAGAGGAAAACACTTTTTGCGAAGAGTTTTATCCTCAGCCTTAAAAGCAGTTCTTTTATCTCAGAAAAATTCCAACTTAAGGCTTTTAAGCATTCAACGCCTTTTGAAGGATTCCTTTAAAGTTTTTCTCTTTAGCTAAGAAAGGTTCCGCAAGAGAAAGGATGACAATAAAATTATTTCTTCTCCTCGGTTTTAGATTCTTAGGATAACTGTTACCTCGGAAAGTTCATAAAATAACAGTTAATTTATGAATAAGAGAAGATTATTTCATATAATACTCGAGAAAAAAATGCCTACTTTTTAATATAATTTATTTTATTAAAATAAACAAGAAACACATACGCATAACGGTAACGTTGTAATGTCTAGTGATCATTCAGGCACATTAGAAACTGTTACCTTTTTAGTGAGAAATATTTAATAAATAAACTTTTTATATATTTATTAGTAATGTTAATTTAGCAAAGCAGATAAAGGAATAAAAAAAAGAGAATGCTTTTGTTTATCCTTGAACTATTGTAAGTATTTTGGTACGAAAAAACATATTCCACGTTTTTGTAAACTACCGTAATCATATTGCTTTTTTTTTTCTTGTATAATCAATTAGCTCAAGAAAATTATTGTATTTAACATAAAAAAACTCAGTAAATAAATGACAATATACTATGAAAATAAGTAAATTTGGTGTATTATGTGATAGATAATAATTGTATTATGCTCAATGGATTACAAGGTATTATTTAAAAAAAGAGACTTGAAAAATCAAGTAGGTTGTATGTTTCCTAATAAAGATTCGAATGCGATGAATTGTTTTTAATTTTGTAGGAAATAAATTAAGGAA